AAGTTGTGCCACGCGTTAACATCTTCTCATGTGTGTATTATGGCTTATATTCCAAAAATGGACTTCTGTTTTCTGTAATAGTCTTATTTTTTTTGCCGTAATTACACAAGGCTTGATATTTTGTTTCTAGATTTTTCATGGATTATGCATTTATGTTTTCCAAACTTCCTAAATATGGTTATTGGTGGGTGTCGAATCCAACAAATAATAAAATTCTCACTCTCAAAAAAATATAAATTGTAACAGTGATGAGCAAGGTCGTATCCACAGAGATTTGGTAGATTTATTTTAATGAAAATTAAAGCAAAGAAAAAGGGGGGTTTTGAAATTTCGAAGTGAAATAAAAGAAAGCAATTATAATCAACTAAAAATTAAGGAAAAATCAATATCAAGCAAATATCCAACCAAATGTATAATTTCGGAATTGGTTCAGAGAATTGATCACAGATACAAGGATAAAATCTTCTATTCTTCACTAAACTGGTTATGATTATTAACAAACTCCAACAACCTATCTCTCCTTACTTTCTCGATAACCAAAACAAGCTCTTTGATTACTTCTCTTGTTAATAAACACCCCTAAACAAGCTCTTAGGATTTAATCTATCGACAACATTAATAATTAGAGAGACTACCAATTCTAGCCAACAAATACACAAGCTCGATTCATTTAGACTAGATTATATATCTTCATAACATAAATCGAAAATCGCTTTATAATCAACTATGTTATTTTACCACTAATATTAGAACACTTAAACAATTACGGATTTAAAGTTCTAAATGGCAATTTATCAACCTGATAATTGAACAACGGGCCCTTTGCATCAATCAATCAAGACAATAATTGTTAATAAACATAGAAGATATATAAATAATGAAGAAATAAAAGAACACTGAAAATTATTTAGATCTCACAATTCTTGAAGAACCAAAACTTCAATTATCCTTCAGTTGAAAGAAAAGTATTTAGCTACTCATAATTTAAAAGAACGCCTAAAGAAAAGAGGAGAAAGAGAGGTAGAGATAGATCTCCCCCTTTGAGGAGAAAGAGAGGTAGAGATAGATCTCCCCCTTTCTTGTGAATAATCTCCCTATTTATAACTCCATCTAATAATAGTTACGCTATCTAGATCAGGAAACTAATTAAAAGCAAATCCCATCAAAATAGGGAGTCTTGGCGAATCCTAGAGATAAAGAAAGGGTAAATAAATCTTTCCAACTGTCATGCATATCTTTTTCTCCAACAAATTCGTAACCCTAGGTCAAAAACCTCGGATCCAGTAAGGCGCGCCCACGCTTTATCTGCTGAATGCTTTTATGAACATTCTGGAAAAACAGGACGTGCCCACACTTTAAGCAAAATCCGCTTCTGGAATGTATCTCTTTTTGAGCTCCGATTTTTTTCTCTCCAAAACTCTTGATTTTGAATTCAATTTGAGTTAACTCCTTAATCTACTCCACAAAATATGAAACATAATCAAAATCCAAGATTTACGCATTTATAACCATTAAAACATAAGGAAATATAACAAATATATAGATATTATGAATGCTTATCAGTTATGTATCTATTCATACTTGTATTTCTAATTACATTTTCGTACGGATTATTTATGCATAGTATATTCAGAAAAACAAGATTTCAGGTTTCACAGTTTTCGCACACGACACATCTCAGTCATCCGAGTCTTGTGGGAGCATCCGAATCCTATGGGATGAGGAAGGTCGGGATGGGTCATGTCAATCTGCCTTTTCTTTTTTATTATGTCTTGTTGATTGAAGTTTTCTATTTCACAAAGTTGGATCAAGGTTGGTTACTGGTATGCTGGTAGTGAATTTCCCATATCATAAATAAATTATGCCTTGTTCACTCACCTTATATGTGCTTTTGCCAATGTAGACTCCTCCACCTACCAGCTTTCCATCCCATCTGCCAATGAACAATACTTCTCGAGCTTTAGTGGTACCATCAGAGGCAAAAGTCCTACAACTCTTCTGCCAGTCTGGAATGGACAGAATGCAACAGGTTAATCCATATTAGGCAACAAAGTGAACTATTCAGTTCTATCTTCAATAGTTAGTGATTCTTGTAACACCCAGATCAAGGTACATAACCCTATTTATGTTTTAATGCCCTTAGTATTGCTTATTCCAAGGTGAAAGATTGAAAAATTGGCATTTTCAGACTTCGTCGCGGCAAAGGAATTTTGTCACTGCGGCAATGTACGCACTACCTAATTTGAGTTCTTAGAATTGTAGACTTTGCTGCAGCAAGGAAAGAAGTTCACCACGGTGATGTACACTCTGGAATTTTTCACTGAGGCGAAGAAAAAATTTCACCAGGGCAAAGAATTTGCTGGAATTTTTGAGAAAATTCTGGAAAACTTGCTTAAGGGCAAAATGGTCATTTCACCCATAATTAGTTAAAAGTGTGGGGAGTGAAAAGTAGTAGAATTTCATGGAGAATGCAATGGAAATGAGGACATTATTGTAATTGACTAAAGGGCAAAGATGAAATTTTGTAGAAAGTGCAAGGGTAAAATGGGAACCTATGAATAATATTATGTGATATTAAGGGTTCAATTAATGAAACCCTTGACATTTTCTCCCTTAGCTCACGCCACCTTCACCTCAATTCTCTCAAATTTCTTCACTTAATTTCCAAGGAAATTCATAGGCTTTTGGCTAGATTTTGATAGATTTCAATCCTAAGTATCCAAAGATAAGATTCTTGCACCAAGATGTGAGATTAAATTTTTAATGTTTTAAATTCTTATAGTTTTACATGCTTAGGGTTTAAGAGAAAGAGGAAGTCTACCAAAGAGAGATTATAGTGTTGAAATTACTCAAATTCAATGTATGTAAATCCAACCCTAGTTATGAATTGAGCAATAATTGTGTAGAGAAATTCTTATATGTATGTATGTGTTGTATGTTGAGAATTATTGATTGAGTTGATGTTGAATGATGGTTAGGATTTAACCATGAGAGGTATTGTTTGTGTATATGGTGATTGGTGTAAGCTTGGATGAGTTGAGAAAGAATTTGAGTAGAATTATAGAGTGTGAATTTCCTGGCCAGGTTTGGTGTTGAATTTACGAAGCTTTGCTCCAAATTTTGGTGGTTAGACATTGATATGGAAGTGTAATCAACTTAGTGTTTTGTTTGTGCATACAAATTGTTTGACAAAATTTCAAAGTGAAGGCATGTATGAGTATGATAGCTTGTTACCTTGATACGAGTTTGTAGATGGTAGAGAGAATAAAGAATGACATGTTCACATGTCATATTGCATTCTTGCATTTAAACATTTGAATTTAGAAAGAATAACAATAAAAAGCCCATCTACATGCATACATGCATATAAGAACACTTAAGAACAAAGATAAAGAAAGAAAAGAAAATTGAATATTAATTTCTAAAAGAAAGATAAGAGAAGAGAAGGTTGTTGCAATAGGGAGCCCGTGAGTGACAAAGAAGAAGAATAACCCCACATGCACGCCGCCTTTAATGAGCAGCCTAAGAATAAGAAAGAAAAATTTGTACAGTCCATAAGAACTACATGTGGATGAGGACTCTATCCAAGAAAGAATTTGAGAATATACTCACACGGCCAGGGTTCCGATCTATGCCTCAACCGAGTCCGATCAGCAAAGAAATAATATAAAAGAAAAGAAAAGAAAGAAAAAGTGGAAAAGCAAGAAAGAATTGATAAAAAGAGAAACAAAAAAGAAAGAAGAGAAATAGAAAAGAGAGAATTGAGACAGAAGAGAAAAATAGAAAAAGAAAGAAAATAGAAAAGAAACAGAAAAACAGAAAAGAAATTGCATCCCCTATGCATTTGTGCATATGCATTATCCCATTTCTCCTATCTTGTGTTAGTTTCCCTGGTTGTGCTTACATATCGGTAAGTGAGAAACCAGAATCTTAGAAAGAACAAAGAAGAATAGAGAAGTTTGATGTAAGGAAAGAGCTTCAAAAAATGAGTAACGAATGAAAAAGAGTAGCATAGAGGATTTACTTACTGAGTAATTAGTGCTCACTCCGTTGATTTCACTGTTTTCGTAGGTAACAAATGAGTTGTGGTCGAAGGATACATCAAGAAATGGAGGAGAATGGCACTACTGTCCAAATGTATTTTGAGTTATTTATATGACTTTCTTACGTGAGGTAGAGAATTTATATATGAAAGTAAAATTAGTTTTGGGCCCACTATCTTATACTTATGTACATATATGTTTTCTATGACATGTTTAGTAATTCCATATTACACTTCCCAAAGTATGCTAGCTAGAAAGAGTTATTACAATTCTTGTCATCGGAAGTCTTCTATTGAATCTCCAATGAAAACCGCCAAGCGTTATGGATTTGAAGGGATTGATTTGTTATGGTTGTGGCCTAATGGTACAAACTTGAATAATATAGGAGGGCTTTTAGATGAGTAGAGAGCTGTAATAACTTCTGATGCAACAGACTCTAGTGAGCCAGCATTAATATTGACAGTGAGTGTTCAGTACATTCCAAATCATGAAACTGTGAGTTATCCGATTGAATCGATGAAAAAAAACTTGGACTGGGCACAAGTGGTTGTCTATGACTATTTTCTACTGTCCAGGGATAACGTTACGGGCACCCATGTTGCTTTCTACAACCCTGCTAGTAATATTAGTACTGATTTCGATATAAACAACTGGTTAAGCAGAGGATTTCTAGCTAACAAACTGGTTATGGGTGTGCCTTACCATGGCTATGCATGGACACTAGCGAACCCAAATGACAAAGCTAACGGCACACCTGCTTCAGGGCTTGCTATCACCATTGATGGTTCCATCAGGTGCAAGTTAATCAGGGCATTCATTCAGAATTATGGTTACGAAGCTGCTTCCGCAAACAATGCTACCTATGCAGTGAATGTATTCACAATTAGAGCAACTTGGATCAATTTTGATGGAGTTGAAATGATTCGAGCAAAAATTGCTTATGCCGAGGAGAAGAAACTCCTTGGTTACAATGCATTTCAGCTATCTAATGATGATAACTGGACACTTTCTCTGGCAGGTGAGTGATTGTTCATATCAATTCTTCAATTTTGAAAACAGATTTTAATTGATTTAGTGAATTACATTTACAGCTTCTGCCGAAAAGGAGAATCAGGAAAATAGGAGGCGATTACTGCTAACGATTTTGCTTCCAATTACTTCAGTTTTTATCCTAACAGCCTGCATGATTTGTTACTTTCAAAGAAAAGTAATCAAGATTAAAGGTATTCAACAGATTTCAGTTTTCATAATATGAAAGGAGAATCATATTGATTTTTGTTCCTCTTTTCCATTCTAGGATCAATGCTTCGAAGCAGAAGAAGGATAACTATTCCCCAAAACCTTGAAAGCAATGCTCCAAATCTGCAAGTTTTGAGCTTTGCCAGCATCAAAGAGGTTACAAACAACTTTTCTAATGCAAACAAGCTAGGTGAGGGTGGATTTGGCCCTGCATATAAGGTAAATATGTGCGATATTATAGTTCTGATGAGTGTCAGGAGTCTGTGAAGCAGAAAAAAAATTGAGCTTATATGCAGCAGCCAGTGCTAAGCATTGGTATTAACTATGGCAGGGTCAATTACATAGTAATCAAGAAATTGCAGTGAAGAGACTTGCAACAACATCTACTCAAGGACTCGAGGAGTTTGAAAATGAGGTTTCACTTACCGCAAGACTTCAGCATGTGAATCTACTTAGAGTTTTGGGATATTGCATTAAAAGAGAAGAAAAAATGCTGATATATGAGTACATGCCGAATAAAAGCTTGGATTAGTATCTATTTGGTAGGCAATATACACTTGATCCGATTCTATCTTTTGTTTACCTGTCATTGTTTACATCAGTTTCTGATCAATCGTGTAACATTTTGTAGACCCAATAAGACGATATGTGTTAGATTGGCAGAAGCGTGTGAACATTATTGAAGGGGTTACTCAAGGACTTTTATATCTTCAAGAGTACTCAAATTTCACTATCATTCATCAAGATGTGAAATCGAGCAATATTTTGTTAGACACTTAAATGAACCCGAAGATATCAGATTTTGGAATGCTAGACTTTTCAGCAAAGACGTGTGTGAAGCTTACACAGGTAAGATTGTAGGAACATAGTAAGTAATTAAACTCCATCCATGGCTTCTCATTTTATATCTTCTTTTGTCAAATACTTCACCAACTTCTCATTAATATCCATTTATGCAGTGGCTATATTCCTCCTGAATATGTACGAAAAGGAATCTATTCCATGAAGTATGATGTTTACAGCTTCGGAGTTCTACTTCTGCAAATCATAAGTGGCAAGAGGAATACATGCTATTACGGCGCATACGAAAATTTGAACCTTCTTGAATATGTAAGTCAATGATGAAAATTTTCAATCATTTTTTGTAGCAGGACATAATTTTAAGCTTTGTTTTCAGGCGTATGAACTTTGGAAAGGCGGCATAGGCATGGAGTTTATTGATCCATCGATGATTCATCTTCGTCGTGTAAAATCATGAAATGTATGCAAGTGGCACTATTATGTGTACAAGAAAATCCAATGGAGAGACTATCCATCTTGGAAGTTTTCTCGATGCTCAAGACTGAAATAATGGCTATTCCTACTCCTAAAAGGCCTGCATTTTCCGTAAATCATGATGAAAATATTGGAAGTAGCTCAACATCCAGGCAACAAGTTTACTCTTTCAATGATTCACAACTTTCCCAGTTGGAACCCAGATGAGATTGTAAGGTTTCATGAATGATAATCAAGAGGGATGTGTTTTGAGCCTCACTATTTGACTCTTGACCGTAGTCGAAGTGTAAGTCAAGGTATTATACATTTATACTACAATACCTAGCAAATAACATGAATGATCCTCTGTCTCTCACACTAATCCTCGGGATCCCAATGTCCATTGAACACCCTATATTTTGTAGGATTCGAACACAAGACCTCTGGATAATCCATGCAGATGATTAAAGTCTTGTCGTCCGACTACAAAACTAATGGTTTCTACTACCATATTTTATATCTAATTAATTAAATGATATTTATTATTTATTTAACAACCTTTGTACCATTCTCTTTCAATGCATTAATACACTATCAATAAGCTCTTAAATGATAGTAATAAATATGTTTTTAAGGACAGTTTAATCATAAATTAGAGTTTGCCCTTGGAAATTCACTTGATAATAATAAATTATAGGAGTATGTATATAGTTATGTTAAACTTTAAGATTTAAGGTGTAATGTGAATTTAATTAAAAGTATAAGGGGCTATATAATCTCTTGTACTATACCGAATTATTGTGTAGCATATGAGGTGAACCATCCAAATTCGAAACTCCTTTGCTTAACTCTTCTCAGTCTCTCTTTTACTTCTCACTCTCTTTACTCTCCCCCGCTTTCGGCGGCATCTTGACGGAATTTTCGCCTGAATCTTGTCGGACTCTTGGCGGCTTTGTTCTGTTGTTGGCGGCACTTCACTCAGTTCGCGGGACTGCTCAAATTGGCGCATTTTTTCGTCGCGGTGGAGTTTTAATCGGTCGTGTCTAGTCGTTGATCGTGGCCTAAGTTGAGTCGCAGTTTCCGGAATCTCCACTGACGGTGATTTGAGTTCTTTGTTCTTGTCACTTTTATCTTTTGCATTATTTGAAAACTTGTGTTTCGGGCCACTTTTGACCTTGACTTTCATCATGGAGCATCTCCTCCTTTTTTTTTTTTTTTTTTTTTTTTTTTTTTTTTTGATCTATCTATTCAAGAAATCGTATGTTTTCATTTTTGTTTATAGTTTTGGTGCGATTATAACTCAGGTTTGCCTTCAGAAATGTTGTTAACTCAGTGCAATTGAGTTTTGCGTGAAGGGCCTAAATGTTCTTTGTGTAACTTTCTATCAATGGTTTCTGATGTTCTATTTACATGACTGTGTAAAATTAAATATGAAATGAATTGGTTTTGTGAAATTACTTGTTAAACTTTTTGACGCGAGTCTTATTTAAAATATGATCCGGAATTGTGCACAGATGAGTTCTAAAGAAACGGTGAAATACCTGTTGCGGCTGGTGCTAATTGCAACCCATCCTTTAAGGGAAAAAATGTTATTGAAGCCTATGATCAGCGGGGATCCAGCCCAAGATGATGATGATGTTGAGGTATGCGAAGGAGGTTATGCAAGTGAAGTGCTGCAAAACCCTGGGCTACCCAAGATTCTAGTACAAAGGGATGGGGACGTCCAGATATGGTTCAAAAATCAGGCATGCGCAACAATGGGGGCTCTGGAAGGAATCCTGGGAAAACCTGGGCACAAACTGCTGATCTAGGACACAACCCAGTTGAGGTAATGCGAAGGCCACGGCTAACCAACAGGATGCCTGGAAAAAATTATATGCCCCACAACCTGTGACTGGTTCTACTCCGTCAAGAGGTTTTGAAGATGGCCAAAAGACAAAAGTGTCTCTGAAGCCTACGAGGATGATGCTGATGAAAATTATGATGATGACATTGATGACAAATCCGATGCTGTAGATGATTCAGATGATGAGCTTTTGGCGATGACTTTGATTCGATACCAGTCAAAAGAGTCATGAGACTCGGAAGAAGAGCAGATGGTTCAGCAAATTCTTTGAAAGTTTGGTAGTTTGACTGTTGAAGAGATAAATGAACCGGCAAGGCAGTGGCACTGTCCTGCATGCCAATGTGGTCCAGTGCTCTGACTGGTACCACGCCTGCAGCCTTTATTGACCCAGCAAAACTAAAGGATCAAGGAGGATCAAGCTTCGCAGGGAACTTGCTGAGCTTTTGGAGGAGGAGCTGCATGACAGGAACTTCGCTATCCAGTTGCTGAATTATTTGGAAAGTGGAAAGGTTTAAGGATGAAGACAAAGATCATGATAATATTTGGCCACGATGGTGGTCATTCTAACACTAAACTGGAGAAGATGAGAATGATAAGGTAACTTACATTGCCTTGCTTCTGTATGAGGTTACAATAAGTTAATTTTAATTAAATTTTACTTTTTGATCACAAATGCAGCTTGATTGTGTTGTCTTTAAGAAGTACATTTGCTGGATCCTCACAATTAACTCATCTTTTTTATGTATTTCATTCAGTGGATTGGGATGGGGATCAGGAACTTCTTGCATACTTCATTCGTTCGCTGCTGTGAAGGCTAGACATTCTTATGGTCCACAGGGGCATCGAGGCATTATGTGCTGATTTTTGAGAATTCTGCAGGGGGCTACTTAGAGGCTGAACGACTGCATGAGCATTTTTCTGAGCAAGGAACAGATCGAGAAGCGTGGAATCTCGGCAGGTGTTATTCCTTCCTGGTGGAAAGCGCCAACTGTATGGTTTTATGGCGCTGAAGGAAGATTTGGATTTTTTTAATCAGCATTCACAAGGTTCTATCTCCATTTATCTTTCTATTTCTATTATATGTATTTGTGTGTGTCTTATATACACAGACATGTATGGTGGCGGGGTTTGGTCAAAATCATTCATAAATCCTGTGACACCTCATGATAACCACAATGCATCAAGCATCTCTTTTTTAGTATTCTATACATAAAGAATTTCCTTATACAATTCTTAATTATGTTTAACTGCTTTGCAATCCATTAGGCAAATCCAAGCTGAAATTTGAGTTGAGATCGTATCAGGAAATGGTTGTCAAGCAAATTAGGCAAATAGTGAGGACAATCAACAACTTGGCTATTTCAAGAACATAGTCGATAAGCGCAAAGGCATTCTAAATCTCTTGAAGCATCTTTCAGTATTGTGAGTGAGAGGCTGAAAGACTATGGGAGAGAACTGCATGTGAAACAAAGAACCAGGTTGCAACACGCACAAAACAAGGAAGAGGTATGATATTCAGTTGCTTATAGCTTTTTCCTTGTTGAAGTTAAAGTGTATTTAAGCTTCACCTGACCAATAACTGTGTTATTTTGCTTTATGGATGGTTTAGGCTAGTAAACAAAGTCCTTGGTTGCACAGTTTATTCCCTGAAGACATGGCTATTACTTGCACTGAACCCTTTAACTCATTTTGATTAAGTCTTTTTATCTATGCTAGCTGTCTTGATTATTATTATTATTTCATCAATGTCTTGTACTTCTTGGTCAACCCCTATGTGTAAAATTAAAAAAAAAAAAAAAAAAAAATTTTGTGGATGTAATATTTATTATTACTAAACTCTTATTTCCTCTTAACTCCTTTCTTATTTATTTTTGTAATTTTTCTGTAGATACTTCCAAGAGCAATTTTTTAAAGACCAAATCAAAATTATTCACGGAGCTAGAGTTTGAAGAAGAGGATTTTGAAATGGTACAGCAAAAAGAGCGAGAGAAGGTGAAGCAGTCGATTGAAAATCCTTCCACACTGAGGACTACACGAAGAGGTATAATATTAGATTGATTGCTTTTAAAATAAATTACTTACACTTGAATTTAGAAATTTAGAATCTGTATATGTTCTTTCTCTTACGCAGGGTTGAGAGAATGGCCGACTTCATCAAATTTCAAGACAAGAATGAGAGTTTGTAGAGGAGAGGGACAAAAAATCAAAGTCCACGAAGATAAGGAGTCCACAATGGGCGCGGCACTTAGAAGCAGAGTTGGAGCTAGAGAAAGAATTGATGCGAATTAAGCAGCTTGATGGAAAAATACTCCTTCTCTCCCAGAAGTTGCGGCCACCACGAACGGTAGGAGATATGCATTCTAATTGATAATTTTCACCACAGAACTGAGAATCTTGAAGAACTTTTGATATTCTGTGAATTTCAGATTAATATTGACAGCGAGTTGTCATACATTCCAAATCATGAAACTGTGAGCTATCCGATTGAATCGATGAAAAGGAACTTGGACTGGGCACATGTGGTTGTCTATGACATTTTCTGCCGTCCAGGGATAACGTTCGGGCACCCTGCTGCTTTGTACAACACTGCAGTAATATTAGTACTGATTTCGGTATAAACAACTGGTTAACAAAGGATTTCCAGCTAACAACTGGTTCTGGGTGTGCCTTACCATGGCTATGCATGGACACTAGCGAACCAAATGACAGCTATCGGGCCTGCTTCAGGGCCTGCAATCACCATTGATGTTCATCGGTACAAGTTTATCGGGCATTCATTCAGAATATGGTTACGGACTGCTTCCATACAATGCTACCTATGTAGTGAATGTATTCACCATTGGAGCAACTTGGATCAATTTTGATGGAGTGAAACGATTCGAGCAAAAATTGCTATGCCAAGAGAAGAACTCCTTGGTTACATTGCATTTCAGCTGTCTAATGATAATATTGGACTTTCTTGGCAGGTGAGTGATTTTTCATATCAATTCTTCAATTTTAAAACAGATTTTAATTGATTTAGTGAATTACATTACAGCTTCTGCGAAAAGGAGAATCAGGAAAATAGGAGGCGATTACTGCTAACGATTTTGCTTCCAATTACTTCAGTTTTTATCCTACCAGCCTGCATGATTTGTTACTTTCAAGAAAATAATCAAGATAAAAGGTATTCAACGATTCAGTTTTCATAATATGAAAGGAGAATCATATTGATTTTGTTCCTCTTTTCCATTCCAGGATCAATGCTTCGAACAGAGAAGGATAACTATTCCCAAACCTTGAAAGCAATGCTCCAAATCTGCAGTTTTGAGCTTTGCCAGCATCAAAGAGGCTACAAACAACTTTTCTAATGCAAACAATCTAGGTAGGGTGGATTTGGCCCGTATTAGGTAAATAGCGCGATATTATTAAGAAGAAAAAAAAATCATACACCTGTTAGGGAGCATAATAATCTTATCCTTCAAATTTAATTTTTTATTGAAAAGAAACGATAATTATGTTAAAAAACAAAGAAAAAAGTGATGCTAATGAAGAAACATATTTTCAAGAGTTACAAAATAGCTTATTTAGTTAATTAATACAATGAATGTATTTTACTAGGGTATCCTCGTAGATGCTCAGGAAATAGCATTGAAAAAACTATCTAAAACTTCGACTCAAGGGTTTGAGGAATTCAAGAATGAGTTATGCTTACTGCAAAGCCTAACATGTAAATCTTGTCAAATTTATGGGTTTTTGCATTGATAAAGAAGAACACATATTGTTCTATGATACATGCCGAACAAAAGTTTGGACTACCACCGTTTTTGGTACAATAATTTCTCTCCAACTATTTTTGCAGCTTTGAAAACATTGATTAGAATATTACTAATTTGTCATTAATAAATAAATGCAGACCCTTGTAAACAAATTCTTTTGGATTGGACAAAACGTGTTCAAATCATAGTAGGGATTATCCAAGGGCTTTTGTATCTCCAATAATATTCGAGATTGACTGTTATTCATCGAGACCTGAAACTTAGGAATATGTTATTGGATGAAAATATGAAGTCTAAAATATCAGATTTTGGTATAGCCAAAATGCTTGTGGAAAATTATCATCAAACAGAACGAATTGTTGGAACATGGTTAGTACACAACAATCTGCTTTTATTTTATATTGCTTTGTAAGCTTGCACTTGGTAAGACATATGCTTAACACATTATCTTTGACAATTCAATGCAGTGGTTATATCCCTCAAAGAGACATATATTCAACTAAACTTGATATCTATAGTTTTGGGGGTCTACTTTTACAAATCATAAGTGGAAAAAAGGTTTCATGTTTATATGTCCGCAGAAGACTTGAGCCTTCTAAAGCATGTAAGTTTCCCCAAGAACAGACCATTAATATTATTAAGAGTAATAATACACATGCATCATTTTCATACAAAATTATATGACAAGATATGATTGGCTAATTTAAAGTTAAAATTAAACATTCACCCAATAATATCTTGTCATATAATGTTGTATGTGAAATGTTATATGTGTAGTATTATTTTATTACTAATTAGTATTGGAAATATTTAATTTGATATACATATTTTCATATACAATTTCAGGCATATGAGTTGTGGAAAGATGATAAAAGCCTGGAGTTTATAGATCCATCATTAGATATACACAATCCTTTTGTAAATTAATAAGATGCTTGCAAATAGTTCTATTATATGTCCAAGAAAACCGAAATGTTGGACCATCCAGGATGCTCAAAACTGGATCCGCAAATACAGTAATCAGCCCCAAGAAGCCTGCTTTCTTAGAACAAAGTGATGAAAAGAAAATGACTAAAAGTTCAGAATTAATTTCGGTTGATGATGCAACAATTTCTGAAGAGGTGGCAAGATGACTCTAGGCTTTTGCAAGACCAATATTAGGTGGTCAGATGTTTTCATTTTAATAATTTACTTTAAGCTTACTTTAGCTCAGAACAAAGAAGCAACAACAAAGAGCCGTCTAAGAAAAAAAAGAAAAATTGAGTGACATATACTCCAGCTCAACATGTTACATATACATACGTAATTATTTGTCCTCCAAGAAAATAATAGGAAATGTATGATAAGACTTCAGCAATTTATTAAGTACAAGGTGGTCACCCAATGGTTTAATTAACACTCAATTATCTTTGACAATCTCAATTTAATCCAGCTGCATTTTAATTGAATTAAGATTTCATGAGATATAATACTCAATTATCTTAGACAATCTTAATTTAATCTTGTTACATTTTAGTTGCCATAATTAAGATTTCATGAGATCTTAGACAATCTTAATTTAATCCTGTTGCATTTTAATTTTTATAATTAAGATTTCATGAGATATAATACCCAATTTTCTTGGACAATCTCAATTTAATCCTATTGCATTTCTAATTGTCATAATTAAGATTTCATGAGATATAATACCCAATTATCTTGGACAATCTTAATTTAATCTCGTTACATTTTTACTGTCATAATTAAGATTTCATGAGATCTCAGACAACCTTAATTTAATCCTGCTGCATTTTAGTTTTCATAATTAAAATTTCATAAGATATAGTACCCAATTATCTTGGACAATCTCAATTAAGTAATACTACATCAACAATACTTTTTCACAAACTTTCTCTCACAACCCTAACGTGGTAGCTTATAATTGATCAGCTTGCAATTAATTAGTGAGACTCATGTAGGACCTATTGTAAACTAACCAATTGTAATCTGTCACGTCAGGGTTGTGAGAGAAAGTTTGTGAGAGAGGGTTGTTGGTGTAGTATTATTCATCTCAATTTAATCATGTTGCATTTTAATTGCCATAATTAAGATTTCATGAGATATAATACCCAATTATCTCGGACAATCTTAATTTAACTCTGTCGTATTTTAATCTAGTGAACAATAATTTTTCTTTAAGGTTTATTCTCCAGCTATGTATATAATTAACCAAATATGACAATGTTGGGAGGATAAGATATAAAACATAGTACAGGGAGAGTACAACATGCCACAATATTCAACCAATAGTGAAATAATTTTCACAAATTTTGCNTATCAGAAATTTAATTAATTAAGCATTACATTATAGTTAAATAATTACTTAATTAAATTATAACATTATTATATTACATTATATTATGATCACTTAATTAATTATAGCATTACATAGTTAAATGATTACATAATTAGTTATGAATTTATAACATTACATTATAAACATTAATAATTTACTACATTATTACATTACTTAATTAAACGATTAAAAATTTGATTAATTATGACATTACCTTATATATTTATAGTATGATTACCTAATCAATTATAACATTTCATTATAAACATTAGTATATTAATTAAATGATTATAAATTTAATTAATTACAATATTAAATTATAGATTTATAGTATGATCACTTAATTCATTATAACATTACATTATAGTATTAAGATAAATGTGAATCCATAATGTCTGACCTGAATGTATTGGAATGGTGGAAAGCAAATGCATCAAAGTATACAGTTCTTTCGCATATGGCCAAAGATCTCTTTGCAATCTCGGTATCTACAGTTGCTTCTGAGTAAGCTTTTAGTACATTGGGTCGTGTACTTGATAAATTTCGAAATTCTTTATCTTCGCCTGTTGTTGAATCATTGATTTGTACAAACGATTGGTTGAAATGTGCACCAACTCTGGATAAAGATGACTTGGAGGATGCAGATGCTTATGAAGCGAGTAAAGTTTCTAACTAACGATTATATTCTTATCTCTTAAATTTATTTTAAGTTATTAGTAAATTTATTCAATGTTTTTGCTTTTTGAAGCTACTAATTGACTTTCTTGTGTTTATTTTGTAGAAATGATTGGACTTCAATCACTTGACGAAGGAACATCCACGCCTAATTTGGAGCATTAGACATGAGTCTTATGCTTTTTGGGTTGTTTTGTAGTTTTATAATTGTAGTGATTGAAATTAATGGGAGAATCAACAAAAATTGTGACAGTTTCTAACTTTCTATATTGTTTTTTGTTTGAATGATTTTGGTGAAGTTATTTGATGTGAATTGTGGTGAATAATTGTTTGTGTTTTGGTTTTGATTAACGAATTTTATGTGAATTGTGATGAATTAATTGAATTCAAGTGTTGCCTAGAGATTACAGGTTATGAGTTACATTAGACACAAATGAATGAGTAATCAAAATTTGTTAGGGGTGTATTTGTAAATTTTTAAAGTATTTTTGTCATTTTTTAAACTAATAGGGAGGTGATTGATTTTTTATAGGGTACCCGGGAAAGGAACTGAAACCTGCATTTTAGGTTCCGGTTCCTAGAATTTAAGAACCTGCACTGTGCGGTTTCGATTCCCCCGAAAAATATAGGATACCCGGAACCGCTCACCCCTAGTTTTATTTGTGTCACTGGTTCTTTCCCCACCCACTTGAAATCTTTTTCGGGAAAGGTAAGTTTTCTTGGTGTTTTCTTGTTTTAATGTTTTATGAATGTAATTCTATGTGTGTTTTTGATTTTCTTGTATTTAATTTAATTTTTTTTTTTTTTTAGTTTTTAATGGCAGATAACTACCATTGCCATATCTGTCCAAAATCCTTAGGAGGCAAGGCTGGTGTTCTGAGTCATATGCAGCATGTTCATTTCGGCAATAAATACCAGTGCCTAACATGCTACAATACATTTGAAACTGAAGTCGAGTTGGTGAAGCACTCAACCACAAGATAGGAAGAGGCCACAAGCGAGAAGAAAAAGTAGAAATAAGGACTACGGAGTAAAAAATGTTGAAGCCTTATTTTATATTTTTCTTTTTACATAAAAAATAATGGACCTTTTGGGTAATTTTTAGTATTCATGTTGGGACTGAATTGAAGATTGCAGGAATTTTGGGACTGAGGGGCTATGCCCAGACACAAATGTTTTTTTCTTTTTCTTTTTTTTTTTATATATATATTGGGGATATTAGAAAAAGATAACCCTTTTCACATTCATATTCTATAATTGTCAAAATGAATGTATACCTGAGAGACAGATATTAGAAAAAGATGGCCCTTTACATACAAGATGAATAATCACATGTTTATTTCATGAAAAATCTGGAATATCACGATGGGATCACGACACTTGTAACATTCCCTACCCATTTTGGTTCTAATAGTTACAATTCTTACTTATTGTCCTACCCACTTCAAATGGTAGGGTTTCCAGTGCAGCCTACTTAAGTTGGACCCAATTTTCAAATATGCAGAATAAGGTTTAAATAAAAGAGGATGTCATCTAAACCCCACTATTTGAGGTGGATAAGAGATAAATATCCAAACCCCGGCCACTACAGGAAGTGGGTAATACAATATATAAAAAAAAAAAAAAAAAAATGGGTATGAGAGGTCAGGTTACATTAGCGGTATCACCGATCAATGTATTCATGTCACCAAGTTAAACTGAATATGTATATTGTATGCGTGCATTAGCTCATTATACTGTCACAACAATAAGTCAAAGTCCAGAGGCTTCTTATTCAACATTGTTAGACAGTTTTTTCCCAACAAAACAAAGCATCACAAATTTCTTGTATAGAAAAAACATATTCTCTTCTCCCAATATAACATGTGGTCCAAAAAATGAGTTCCCACGAAATCTATCCATAAAGTCAATAGAGGAGAATTGATCTGTTGTATTTTTGCCTAACTTACTAAATGAACATTCACATTTCCTGCAAAACGTGAGCTTCCTTCCTTGGTTGACAAAACCATTGCCTTCCTCCTCGTCCCGTTCATTTCTCTTCCCAATTTGCACTATGTAAACTCGTCACAAAGTTGGATTAGAGGTGGTTACTGGGATTCTCAGAGTGAACTCCCCATTTCAGAAATAAATTTTGCTGTTTTCACTCACCTTATATGCAGTTTCGCTCGTATAAACTCCTCTACCTACCATATTTTTATCAACTCAACTTCTGAAGAATCCTTCTCCAACTTCTCCAGAACTGTGAAACTCAAGAATCCATCAGTTGTAACACTTCTATCAATTTGGGGTGCAGGACAAGACTCTTCAATCTTTGGTTCAATGATAAACTAATCTTCTTTCAGAAAGACTTTTATCAAATCCTCCATAGAAACTATTGGAGATAAACATTAGCTGTATTGGAGACAAACATTGGCTGTTGAATCTTTTATTTCTGATGAAATGGAAGCTTGAAAATGGTGTCACTTTGGGCTAAGTTGGACGATGTGTTAGACCGATCGTCACAGTCTAAAAATTAAACCTAAATACCGTAGTAACGGTAAGCAGGATTGAATCCACAAGGAGCAAGACTAACAATCTAATGTATTTTAAGTAGCGAAAATGAAATTGGCAATGAATTAATGAAACTAAATAAACTAAATGCAAATAATGAAATAGTGAAATTAAAACAAATAAAGACTTTATAATAAAAAATGTTGCTGTTACAGTTTTGGTTCGACACGAGACCGACTCACACAATTCTTCTCCAACCTCTACGATCCCCTAAACCTACAAGGCAAGGTAAATCAATGAAATGGCTTCTCAACACTCTAGGTATAATCTATCCTGTCTTACCCGATCACTCAAGTTCGATTGGTTAAAGACTATCATTGAACATCGATAAACGCTACAAGGCAATACCACTAGTTGGTACGCGATTAACAAATACAATTTGTCAACACGTAATATCTAATCAACCAACTTCACAATAAACGCAACAATATTAGAAATTAAATTAAATCCTAACACAACTCAATTACAATCGATGCGAAGTAATAAAAAGCAATATTCATCATTTAATTATTCCAAACCAACATTTATCATTCAGCAAGTTCTATGAAAACATTAAATCATAATGGACAGCAATATTCATCACAAGTTATGCTCAAATCATATTAAAGTATCGAAATCAAACATGAAATGAAAACAAATATAATCTGAAGCACAATACTACCAAATGTCCTATAATCGGGCTCATCCAACTAG